TAAACGATACCAAAATTTTCAGGTTTTGATTATTCTGGTAAAGGAAAAGAGAAGACCATGCCTACATTGATCCAAGATTGGTTATTTGAAAAGCAGACTGATAAGATGAAGACTCAATTAATCTAACAAACCTACAGTTCTCTTTATCTCAACCATGTGCAAAATGAATATTATCCTCTGCCAGATACTTCTTTCTTTTGTTCTTTCTCTTTCTCTCTCTCGATTTCTCTCTCTCTTCCTTCTTTCTTTCTCTTTCTCTCATTCTTTCGTTCTTTCTTTTTTGCTAGACCTGGGCACTAACCTAGAACCTCTTGTGCCCAAGGCTAGTGCTCTACCACTTGAGCCACAGCACCACTTCCAGCTTTTTTTTCCAGATGAAAGTCTTACAGGAATTTTTCTGCCCAAGCTGGCTTCAAACTCTGATCCTCAGATCTCTGCCTCCTGAGTACCTAGGATTATAGGCATGAGGCACCAGATACATTTCTTCTAGATCTTCCACAGACTCTTGGAAATAAGGTAATCAAAGATACCCCTCCCCCGCCCCTGCCCAATCACTGACCCTCTCCCTTCAATGCAATTTATTTTACAATGTCTATACACATCTGTACCCCAAGTTGTCTACCGAGGCATAGGTAACTCCTTTTGCAGTGAACCTAATTCCTCCTCATCTTTCATAAGTTAGTTCAATATCACTCTCCTTAAAGCTTTTCTCATGCTGCTCACAGCACAGCATGCTACATATATCTCCTTGAAGGCATTCAAAATTTTGTGATAGTCTATTGTCTGTCATTTACAAAAGTGGCAAGATTTTGCCTTTATTTCAAACACCAGTTTACTAAATAATTAGAGCACCAAGTGGCAAGATAATAGGATAATGTCTGACAGAAGAAATCTGCCATTGTTTAAAATGGTAGGAGATGATTCATAAGGGGACATATCAGTAGTGAAGAAGTTGTATCTGATGACAATTACTTTGGATAAAATCTATTAGTCTTAGCTCCATTATAGTATTTGCATAGAAATACAATTCCAGCTCTATTTAAAAGTAGGACAGTGATCAGAAGTTGCCCAGTTTAAAAAAAAATACCACGAAGGGTAAACAAAGGAGGAGGCTGCAATGCTTGGTAAGAAATGTATGCATTATCCTGCCCATGTAATTGTAACCCCTCTGTACAGTATGTTCTCAAATAAAATAAAATTTTTAAAAAAATACCACCTTCTAAGTAGAGAAAAGACATTGGGAGAAAATGATTCTTTTTTTTTTTTTTTTTGGTCGGTCGTGGGGCTTGAACTCTGGGCCTGGGCGCTGTCCCTCAGCTCTTCAGCTCAAGGTGAGCGCTCTACCACTTGAGCTACAGCGCCACTTCCGGTTTTCTGGTGGTTTATTGGAGATAGGAGTCTCACGGTCTCTCCTGCCCAGGCTGGCTTTGAACCGTGATCCTCAGATCTTAGCCTCCTGAGTAGCTAGGATTACAGGCGTGAGCCACCAGCGCCCGGCTGAAAAAATGATTCTTTGCTTCTGCCAGTCTAAGGAAAGCTTTCCTGACACATTTGTGAGATCAATATATAACACAGTAGCTTCCTAACAATGACTTAGTAACACCTAAACTCAAAAGGAATTCTAGGATTCTTATGGTTTAAAGAAAGAAAATTCTGTCTTGGACTGTGACTCTAACAGATCATATGAGATCTTACTTGAAAAGCAATCAAAAAGGAAAGAAATCTGGATGTCCGCTACAGGTTTCATGTGATAACAGTTTCAGCCCTCAGACTAGTGATTCTCGGTCCTCCCATGGTTAGCATGTGACTCCAATCTACAAACCTTCCTCTTAGAATGATGGTTACAATAATATCTAGTTCATGTGAATTTCTATGTAAATCCCCTAAGTTATCACTACAAATTCTCCTCTATATTAATACACTGTCTTGTGATCAGAGAATGTCTAGACATTCAATACTTCTTTATTCTGGCCAAAAATATTGTCATTGTTCTAAAATAACTAGAAGTTTCTTGAGCAAAATTCTTAACCGCTGAACAGTTCCCCATCTGTAAAATGAGGATAATAATCCCTGCATTGCAAGATTCCTACGAAGTTTGTCTGTAGTGTATACGTGTGTATAAAGGAGCTATGCCTGGCATCCTATCTGCTAATCACAAGTCTCTCTTTTTTGTTTGCTATAATATTTATCCAAGTTGATGCCTTTAGTGAAGCTACTCTTTTTCTAAAAATAATATACAGAAATACATGTCATTTACATATGCATTCTTCAAACGCATATTTTTCTGTGTACTTATTTGGGATCATCCACTTTGCTTTTCCATATGCAAATATCTACTGGATTCAGTAAAGAACTTGGAAGATTGATTTCACAAATTTAAAAAACCTTTTTTAAAGCTAAAATATGCTTTAAAAAAGTTACTCTAACTGGACTATATTTAGTGAGACTCTGGTTTAGCAGAGATAAGTGGAGATATGCACACAACACATTCTCACTTTTTAGACACTTTAATTTCTTCTAGAAATCATTTTTGGGATTTTTCTGCTTTGGGATTTTTCAAAATAGGTAAAAAATAATTATTTCATACTAAAGGTTACACAAACTAAAATATGATCCTATATTTTCAATTCTAAAAAAACTGTCAAAATATTCCAGTTGAGTTGCCTTTGCTGATACTGTAATTCACACATGTTGGTGGAGAATAATTTTTAATTAAAGTTCGTTATGAAAATAGATGCTATGGGAAGAAGCAATCTTCACAGGCTTGAGTGTGCCATTTTTAGAAAGCCAGGTTGAGAAGCTGTCCCAAAGTTGGAATTTAATTTTATTGTAAAAGTGTTATACACAGGGGTTAGAGTTGCATGACTGAGGTAATATGTACATTTCCTTTTGAACAGTGTCATCCTCTCCCTCATTCTCTCCCAGTTTTTTTCTTCCTGATTTCCCTCACTTCAATGTTGTATAGTTCATTTCCAACATAGTGTCTAATGGGTATCACTGCTTAAGGGTTCACCCTTTGTTCCACCGTTTCTGTGCTTTCCCTTCCCCTCCCCAAATCAGATAAACTTATATGCAATTAACCACCTGGACCTGATTAAATCACAATCTAAACATTCATGCAGTAAGAAAAAAGGAGGATATTCTTAGGAGAGGATTGCAAGGGCTCAATAGCTATATGCATAAAATGAAATAAAATGATGCCTATCAAAATGAACTCCAAGAAATGGAAGTAAGTGTATTTTTTCTAATTATACTGTCCTTAGTTCTTTTTATTTTTTTCTTCTTTCCTTTTTCCTTTGGTTAATTCTGCTGCTTTTGATTTCTGTACCCTTTGTCTTATATATAAGAAACTTAGATTTTAAGAGACTTAGCACACTCATTCCCTAATGGACAAAGCATGGATTACTCTGTATAAGTAAGGTTAACATCCAGAAGGCCCTGGATTCAACCCCAGCACTCTCCAAAAAGAAACCTGACTTACTAATCTTCAATCTTGGTCTTCTTTTTTACCTTTCTAGAAAAGACACAGAGGGTATATTTCTTTTACAATTTTAGAGGAATATCTGTAAGTATTTTGGTAGTTTTATCCAAACAATTTATATCAAAATTATCTAGGTAACCATTTTTTTTTCTTAGAAGATTTACACTCTTTTCAGAAAATTTACAATCTCATACAGTGAGGTTTTAAAAACCTACTGTATTTTCAAATGTGTTCTACACAATAAACAATATGGCTTGCACATTCATTCCCTCTGAATATTCAAACTTTGGGTTGTGCGAGGCACAAACAGCCCCAGTGAGAGCTTTGGGCATCAAATGCCTAACAAGAGATTCCCTTGTAGACAAGATATTGCATAATAAGATAACAGTTCATCGCTGAAGGAGTCCAGTGGGAAAGGACCTTTTGGCAGCTTATATCTATGTGGTCTCCACCAGTTTTTGATCATTTGCTTTTTCTCTCTTCTGATTTTGCTTTGTACTCTGTCTTAAAATTTAAAAAAAAAATCCTGTCTCTGGGTACCACAATATAGGGATTACAGTATGCCTCCTAGAAAAGGAATCTTGGCTGATCTTGAGAAAATCCAGTACAGACTCAATAAAAAAATGTTATTTCCCATTTTCATATAGCTGTTATTTTTCTTAGACAAAAAATGGAGATAAATAGAAATAGAGATCAGTTGACTCATAGATATAAGATGACTTACCTTACCAAATCATCTTGTATAGTTAAGATAAGACAAATAATTATATAAACTCCCATGGTAATAATCACACAGATGAAAAAAACTAATAATAACTGTGGATGCTAAGAAATTTTAAGTTTTCTCCTGGATTGCAACCCATTTTACAAATACCAAGTTTTGACTATTTGAAAAAGATCAGACCCCTCAAGACATTTAAAAATCCTCAACAAGTAATTGCTGTTTATTTTTTTAGTGCCAGTACTTGGGCTTAAACTCTGGGTCTTAGGCTTTTACTCACTACTGGCACTCTACCACTTGAACCTCATCTCCACTCATAGTTTTTCACTGATTAATTGACGATAAGAGTCTTACAGCTTTGCTTGCCTGGGCTAGCTTCAAAATAATTGTAATACTAGCTACTCAGGAAGCTGAGATCTGAAGATTGAGCTCAAACTCAGCCTAGATACAAAAAATATGCAAGACTCTTATCTCCAATTATCCACACAAAAAAAGTTGAACTGAAGATGTGACTTAAGTGGTTGAGTACCAGCCATAAGTGAAAAAAATTGAGAGGTGAAGGCCCTGAGTTAAAGTCCTAATACTGGTTCAAAATAAAATAAAATTCACTTTCCTTTTGAGAATGATGAAATCAAGCCTAAATATTTTACTTTCAAAATGAAATATACTAGTTAGTTCAATTATATTTTAACCTCAAATAAACATACAAATGGTTCATTCATTTCACAACTTTTCTTAAAGTGAAAATCTACTTAAGTAGGAATTCTGAAGAACTTCTCAATCATATTGTCAACTTACATTTTTTTGCAGTGTGGGCATTTTGCCAGAGTGTTGAACCTCAGTTCCATCCACTGAAAAATAAATGAAGAGAGGGATTGAAAACTAAAAAAAAAAAAACAAAACTCTCCAATCTGATAAAAATATTTCTTTAGTTTAAATGACATGGGAGTTGACAGTAGAAGCAATTGCTTCCTCAGGATTGTAGGAGTTTTTTGCTCCACCTTTCTCACCTTCCCTTGAAATACAGTTTGGGATCTCCCTCTGAAATAGTTCCCACGACTTTTCCAAGGCTCTGATGCAATCTAGATTTGCTTTGCCACAAAAATGGAATGCAATATCGTAATATTTACGTTCCTCTTTTTCCTCTGCACGTTTTAGTTCACATCTAGGATATTTCATTTCCCTTCAAAGTTGTCTTCCCTTGAAATGAGGACCAGTCTTTTGAATACTTGAATATTCTGATTTACCTACCATAAAGCTATTGTCCTATTCTACTTGTGTGAGGAGCCAGGAGCCACAAAGTACATAAACTAAACAAATGAGATAGAGGCAGAACTAAAATCAAGAAACCACTTCTTGTATGAACATGCTTACAGGATCTTACCAAAACAGATGACACTTATGGGACAATGTTCTTTTTAAAGGTTTCTTCCATGTAAATGTAGACAAATACAATGTTCTGCTTTCCTCACAGGAATGTTATTAAAATACTTGACATGGCTTACAGATAGTAGACTAAAGTTCTTGAAGTGGACGATTCTTATACATTTAAATTAAATCTCCATAAAATATATTTTAAAAACATATTGCTGTTTAAAAATATATTGCTGTTTCTATTTCAATGCTTGATATGGGTCTGTTAAGTTGGTTAAACTCATCTTGGTTTAGTTTTGGCATGTCGATATTTGCTAGGAAATTGTCCATTTCTTCCAGATTCTCAAACTTATTAGCATAAAGATTTGTGAAGTATTCCCTTGTAATGTTCTGAATCTTGATTGTTTCTGTAGTGATGTTTCCATTCTCATCTCTGAGTTTGTTTATTTGGGGGTGTAGTGTATATATATCTATATATATATACATATATACACATATATATGTATATATATATACACACATATATACACATACACATGTGTATATATGTGTGTGTATATATATATATACACAATGGAATTCTACGTCTCCATCAGAAAGAATGACATCACCACAATTGTTAGGAAATGGAAAGACTTGAGAAAAAATTATATTAAGTGAAGTAAGCCAGGCCCAAAGAAAGATAGGTCCCGTGGTTTCCCTTATTTGCAATAACTAGTATATGTCTGAGACAAGCAGAAAAGGTCAGATAAGATGATAAGTGAAATGAACCCCAAGATAAGGACACAAGTGGTTTTTTTTCTTTCTTGCTCTTGTTTCTAACATATTTATAAGGTACCATGTGATTTTTTTGTTGCTTTGTATGTTCCTCCCCCCACAGTATAACCCCTTTTTTCACTGTATTTAATGTTGGTATAATTTGGGGAGGAGAAGGGAAAAAATCAAAATGTTTAAATAGAGATACAGGTTGACCCACTGTAACAAAGAGAGGTACAAGACACTATATTGGAAAAGGAACTTTACAATTTAGGCGTGGGGGTGGGGAAGGGATGGTAGGGGAAAAACAAAGGAAGAGGCAACAATGCTTGATAAGAAATGTACTCATTATCTTGCTCATGTAACAGTAACCCCTCTGTACAGTATTTTCACAATAAAAAAAACTTATTTAAAAAATAGGTTTATAAGTTAGAGCTGTGGCACCTAATTAACGTATTCCACACACTAGGTTCAATCTCCATTGTACTTTGTGCATGCTAGGCCAAGTGTTCTGCCTTTAGCTCCCAGAAGTAGAAGGTAACAGAAAAAAGTCATTACTGAGCTCACATCCCACTGAGCTTCTCTCATTAATCTGAAATTCTCAACAACAATTCCCACCAGGTATTTACTATGTTCTCTGAATCAACAAAAAGTGCTTTTCAGAAACTTTTATATCACCTTTGAATTCTATACTTGAAAATACTCTTTCTGGCTAAAGAATTAAAGTTTTGAACCATAATTACTGTCAACAGAATACAGAGATGGTAATATCAGTCCATTTTTGCCCTGCATATTAAGTAAGATCTAGTTTCAAAAGTTAAGTCTCTAGTGTTCAGATTTGCAATTTTCTTCAGTGCAGGGGCATGGAGAGGGATTTTCTAAATACATGAATTATATATTTTTAATTACAAACACCATGTCCCTCCCCCCACAACCACACATTTGAACTCTCTTTCAATTAGTCTCTTGAATTCACTGCCAGATCATTTAAAAACTTAAATATAAATCTCTGTAACAGTTGTCTTTGATTTTCCTTTACTTCTCTCTTTTCTATGAATTCACAGTACACTCAGTTTTCTGTCTCTCAAGTTCTTTATACTAAACATCTGGGCTTGTGCCTCTTGAGTTTTGCCCCTAAGCAGTCCATTCTATACATATGACTTTAGTTTATATTCAACTACGAATAAGCTCTCCTACAGCTTTCTTTACTCCTAAGAGAACAACACTTCCTTTATATAGGTATTTGTGTGTGTGTGTGTGTGTGTGTGTGTGCGCTCGCCTGCGCACACACGCATGTGCATGCATCTATAGTTTTATCTATTTTTATATTGAAGTCGTTGTACAAAGGAGTTACCATTTAACAAGGCATATGATATATCTTGATCATCACATTCTTACATATTTTGATCATCACATTCTCCCTTATCTAGTCCTTCCCTCTCCTCTTAATTTTGTAGGCTACACATTGGATTCTTGTTTGTAATTTCCCCTTTGTCTTCTCTTCATTATCTACCATGCCCTACTCCTTCCAATTACCTGCTTCCTGGTATTTCATTTTGCTGAACTTTGATTTTGGGGCTTTCCAAGGAATTACACTATTTGAGATCTCCCTTGAATCTACCATATTTTGGTTAATACATTTGTATACACTTGCATACTGCCTAATATATTTATGAGTTTGTAACCTATATCTAGCTAGATTTTATATATATACATAAAATGGATCCTTTGTCATTGTGGGCTTGGCTTACTTCACTTAATTTAATGTTTTCCAAGTCTTTCTTTCCATTTCATTACAAATGGTACAATATCATCCTTTCTAATGGATAAGTATCCAGAATATAGAGAGAACTTAAAAAATTAAATCCTCTAAAAACCACAACCATGTTTATTACAGCACTATTCACCATAGCCAATAGTAACTGGCCCGATGCCACTCAATGGATGAGTGAATCAGGAAAATGTGATATATATACACAATGAAAATTTACTCATCCCTGTCTATGTGAAAAACATAACATAATTTCTATTTTGTCTTTCCCTACTATTAGATTAGAAAACTCTATAAAAATAGAGACTCTGCTTCTTGTTTACCACAGATTCCTTGGCACCTAGGAATAGCCCAGTACCTGGTACAAATTCAATGTATCTTGTGAAACAAATCAGCCCACATAGTGTGGCTACAAAGATAATCCATGGTGAAGATTTGTTATACAACTGTAATAAGCCAGAATGCAAAGTCATTGTGGAAGGAGATCTGAGTAAGGAGAGGAAAAAAACCCTATTTTGAAGATTTTTCAATGGCATCTCTTTCTAAATACAATTTGTTTAAAAATTCTTTAATATATATTTATCTTAGATCAATATATTTTATTAGAGGATACTATATTTAGTTCTCATGTATACAAATACACTGTCAGAAACTTGACAGTTCTATAAAAGAGTATGGGAAGAACTGATGACCTATATTTTTAAATCCAAGAAAATGTCAAAAGCCATACAGAAATGTAGTACATCTATTGGCTCAGTTGTGAATGTAATTCACCTCATCATTAAAGAAGGAAAACAAAAACATGTAAACACTAATATTATAACCCTACTGAGAATATGGAATCAGGATTAGGAAAAGGAATATAAGTGGGTTGTTCATTTGAATGATAAATCCTCAGCTTGTAACATAATTTAGTAATGTTCAAAACTACTTCATCAAAAAGAAGTGAGGTAAGTGAACTTGCACTTGTAAGTGAACTTGTAAGTAAGGAGAGCACCTAGAAGAATTCAGAGTATTTGGGGGATGATATTTGGGGGTCAGATAGATGAGGATACTGTAGTTTTATTTGACATTGACAATTGTCCATATAAATTACTTTAATAAAAGTAAAACAAAAAGGCTGGGAATGTGACTTAGTGATAGAGTTCTTGCCTTCCATGCATGAAGCCCTGGGTTCAATTCTTCAGTACCACATCAATAGAAAAAGCCAGAAGTACCGCTGTTTCTCAAGTGGTAGAGTGCTAACCTAGAGCAAAAGAAGCTCAGGGACAGTGCTCGGGCCCTGAGTTCAAAACCCAGGACTGGCAAAAAAGAAAAAAGAGATGGACAAGAAGCAAATCCCACATACTTTCTTAAGCTCATTCAGTCCTTCATGACAGCAATCACATCAAATTGCTTTTACTCATAACAAATCCCTTAGACTTTCTCATTACTTGATGGTTTGTATATCATGTGAAAGAGTTAATTTCCATTTCTCTAAGTATAAAGCAGAAAATTTTTGATAAATTAATAGTAAGAAATGTTCTGGAATTCCAAAACCATGAAACAGGCCTTAGCATGTGTATTTTGTTACTAAGAAGGTGAGAAGAGTAACATTTATTTAGGGGCTGGGAAGGTGGCTCAGTGGTAGAGCGCTTACCTAGCATGCATGAGGCCCTGAGTTCAATTCCTCGGCACCACATAAGCAGAAAAAAAAACAGAAGTGGCACTGTGGCTCAAGTGGTAGTATGCTAGCCTTGAGTTGAAGAGCTGAAGGACAGCGCCCAGGCCCAGAGTTCAGGCCCCACAACCAGATCAAAACAAAAAAGATTTATTTAGTCACCAAGTCAAGATATCATAGCTAAACTCTTATCATACCTAGGTGGCTCCTTTTCTCAATTGGACCAATTAGAGGCTTTATGACTTGTCAAATTCACAGAAGATACTGTATGCCCTAGCTTTAGGTCATAACTGTATCTTTGGTTAATTGCCTTCCTAAGTAGACAAGGATGTATTTTAACTTGTGATTTGATGTACATTTGACAAAATATTAAGACAGTTAGCAACTATCAAATCTACTAGATAGTTATGAGTTGTTCTATGACAAATATCCAGTTACTTACCAGGAACGTGTTTCCACAATGCCCACATACAACTCTTGTACCTTCCGGTTGGATTGGCAATGCAGGTTGAGCTGGTTGTTCTTCAGAAATAAGCATTACTGGGCCAAGGTTAATTATGCGTCTACTGTGAAAAGAAAAAGAAAATGGACTGAGGGCAAAACCTGCAATACATGGCCAAAAACATGGAGTGTGTCTATGAAACTATTAACGCTTGATTTTTAAATTAAATTATTCTCAAGCCTTGGATCCCAAATCACAGAAAATATCAATAGTCTGACTCTCAAAAGCGAAAAATAAACCAGGCAGGGACTCATCAAAGAGAGAGAACTATAGACCCATTTCTTTGATGAATATCAACGCAAAACTTCTCAACAAAATCTTAGCCAGTCGACTTCAAGAACCCATCAAAAGAATCATACATCACGATCAAACAGGATTCATTTCAGGGATGCAAAGCTGGTTCAATATATGCAAAACAATATATTTCACCACATCAACAAGAACAAGGATAAGAACTACATAGATGCAGAAAAAGCATTTGACAAGATCTAACACCCCTTTATGATGAAGTTTCTGGAAAAACTAGGAATCCATGAAACATTCCTCAATATAATAAAGGCTAAATATGACAAACCTACAGCCAGCATTATACTTAATGGCAAAAAGTTAAAGCCGGGCTGGGAAGGTGGCTCAGTGGTAGAGCACTTGCCTTGCATGCTCGAGGCCCTGGGTTTGATTCCTCAGCACCACAGAAGCAAAAAGAAAAAAGCAGGAAGTGGCGCTGTGGCTCAAGTGGTAGAGCGCTAGCCTTGAGCTGAAGAGCTGAGGGACAGCGCCCTGGCCCAGAGTTCAGGCCCCACAACTGGACCCCCCCCAAAAAAAAAGTTAAAGCCATTTCCTCTAAATTCAGGAACAAGACAAGTATGTCCACCCTCCCCACTCTTCTTCAACCTGGTATTAGAATGCCTCGCTACAGCAATAAGACAAGATGCAGACATAAAGGGGATCCAAATAGGGAAGGATGAAGTAAAACTCTCCCTCTTTGCAGATGACATAATCTTGTATTTAAAGAACCCCATGGACTCCACTCCCAAGATACTTGAGCTGATAAGAAATTTTGGCAAAGTAGCAAGGTACAAAATTAACCCTCAGAAATCAATGGCTTTCCTATATGCCAATAATGAGATGAGCGCGGCTGAAATTAGGAAAGCAACCCCTTTTGTAATAGCCCCAGAAAAAATAAAATACTTAGGAGTTAACAAAATAGGTGAAGGACCTGTATGACAAAAACTTTAAAAACCTGAAAAAGGAAATTAAAGGAGAACTAAGCAAGTGGGAAAACTTCCCATGCTCCTGGATTGGGAGGATTAACCATGAAAATGGCAATAATGCCAAAGGCTATCTACAAATACAATGTGATACCTATCAACATTCTAACCTCATTCTTCAATGAAATAGAAGAAGCAATCCAAAAATGCATATTGAACAATAAAGGACCCTGAATGACAAAAATAATCCTTAGTAGAACAGCACTGGAGGAATATCGATTCCAAACTTCAAACTCTACTACAAACCATAGTAAACAAAATGGCTTGATACTGGCACAAGAAATGACCTGAGGACCAATGGAATAGACTGAAGACCAAGAAATTAACCCACAGACCTATAGCCACCTAATCTTTGATAAGGGAGCTAAAGAAATAGAATGGTGCTGGCAAAATTGGTTAAACACTTGTAGAAAACTAAAGCTAGATCCATATATATCACCCTGCACCATAATCAACTCCAAATGAATCAAAGACCTCGAAATAAAAGCAGACTGCATGAAAACATTACAGAAAGGAATAGGAGAAACTCTAGGGCTTCTTGGCACAGGTCGAAATTTTCTTAATAGAGACCCAGAAGCACAACAAATCAAAGAAAAGTTGGACAAGTGGGATTGCATGAAACTGCAGAGCTTCTGCAATGCAAAGGACATAGCTAGCAAGATCAACAGAAAGCCCATGGAATGGGAGAAGATCTTCACTAGCCATACAATGGACAATGGTCTCGTATCTAAAATATACTTAGAACTCAAAAAACTGAATCTCCCAGCAAAAAGTCCTCAAAGAAACAACTGCCCGATTAACAAATGGGCTAAAGACACATAAAGAAATGCTCAACCTCTCTAGCCATAAAAGAAATGCAAATCAAAACAACATTGAGATTCCACCTCACCCCAGCTAGAACGGCTATAATCAAGAAATCTAGTAACAGATGCTGGAGGGGATGTGGCCAGAAAGGAACCCTACTGCATTGTTCGTGGGAGTGTAAACTTGTTCAACCACTCTGGAAAACAGTATGGAGGTTCCTCAAAAGACTCACATAGAGCTCCCTTATGACCCAACAATCCCACTTTTGGGCATTTACCCAAATGATCACAAACAAGACCACACTAAAGCTACCAGCCCAACTATGTTTATTGCAGCATTATTTACCATAGCTAAGATATGGAACCAACCCAGACGCCCCTCAGTAGATGAATGGATCAAGAAAATGTGGTACATATATACAATGGAATTCTATGCCTCCGTCAGAAAAAATGACATTGCCTCTTTTGTTAGGAAATGTAAAGACTTGGAAAAAATCATATTAAGTGAAGTAAGCTAGGCCCAAAGAAACATAGGTCCCATGGTTTCCCTTGTTTGCAGTGACTCGTACATGTCTAGGAAAAGCAGAGTAGATCAAAGGCTATGTACATACAACCAAATGAGATAATGTTATAAGCAAAATGTACCCCAAGACAGGGACATAAGAGGTTTTTTGTTGTTTTTTTTTTTCTTTTTCCCTTTCTTGCTAGTGTGATTCTTTTGTTTCTATTGTATGTTCTTCCCCCATGGTATAACCCCTGTTTTCACTGGATTGATGCTGGTGCTCTGCACCTTGTATATATATTTTTGTAATTTGCGGAGGGGAAGGGAATTGCAGAACGCTTAAATGAGGATGCAGGCTGACCCATTGTGACGACAAGATGTACAGGACACTATATTGAAAACAAACCTTACAATGTTGGGGTGGGAGGGGCGAGAGGAGTTGGGGAGGTGGGGAGGGAAGTGATGGCAGGGGGAAAATAAAGAAGGAGGTAACAGCGCTCACTATGAAATGTACTCATTACTCATGTAATTGTAGCTTTCTGTACAAGATTTTTACAATAAAAAATTTAATAATAAAAAGCAAAAAATAGTCTTTATACACTTGGGATAGAGTTAAACATGATAATATGGAATGGGTCCTAATCAATGACATTGGGAAACACTTATCTGCCGTATGCATGTTTTTACAAGTTCAAATCAAACAATTTTCATTCATTTTTTTCTCTAAAAAGACAACTTAAGTTTAGAAGACTGAATAAGCAAAAAAAATTCTACATTAATAAAAGTATGTGTCCCAAAGGTACCAAAATGGTGAAAACAAATTTCTCTGAGAAGTCCAGAATTTTTTAATGCTTCTTTAAAAAAATGGAAATATAGAAAAAATGGGAGCCAGTTTGCCTTTTTATTTTTAAGTCTATCACCAATATGTCTTGAATGGTTCATGTACCGGTCAAAAGGCCAGATAAAAGGTAACAAAAACCACAATTAAGGGCTTTTACTTATATCTAAGTACATCCATAATGGTATTTTCCATAATAGCAAACAATTATTACATACATTACATTCAGCAGAGACTACTGTAGAATACAAGGAGATATATAATGAGAACTAAAACATTTCTGGATTAAAATCAAGATTTGAAAGGTAAAATAACTTGTGATTTTAAAATAGGTTCAATGAGTCACTAGTTTACCATCATTCATTAAATACTTTCAAAGATAAAGCATCCATTGCTCATTTGAAAATATTATATCCTACAAATGACCACAAATATCTAAGCATGTCATTGCTTTAGTAACAACAATCACAATCTAGGTGCTATAATCAATTTTGAGAACAAAGTTTGAGTAAAACTAAGCCTGGAACATAATGACACTTTTTGAATAGAGGAATGAATGGATGAATGAATCTTTATCTCTTACCAGTTAGGTCTTGGACATCCTATTCGCCGCGATGTGTCCTTACAAATGAGGAGACAATTACAAGGGCATCTAACATATTTCTTCCCTGTTGGGGGATTTTTGATTGGCTAGATAAGGGAAGAAAATGCAAAGACAGCAAATTAATCAAAGCTATATTGTCACAGTTTGTGTTTAAGAAGGAAAGAACTTCTTTGGACTATCAAAGTATAATATGAGAAACAGTGCATTGCAAGTGGTTCCAAGTACTGCAATTGTTCACAAGCACTTTGTAATGGGGGGGGGGGGGGGCAGCTACAGAGATTTAATTATGAAAGGTGTATTTCAAATTTAGTTTGTACTGGCCTTTTTGATATGGAAAGAATATTTAGTGCACACTAAGTGGTGAGGTTTTTTTTGTCTTTTTAAAGTTTATAAGACAAGGTGATCAACTATCTTTCTAGTCAGATGCAAACATTCACAAAGGATTCTTATACCTATCCAGGAAGAGCAAACTTGATAAACACAGTGGAGAAAAAAAAAACCGTTACTGAATAGAATATAAGCAACTAGTTATGATATACTTGAATTTACAAATTTGTAATTGCACTAGCATTTCTTTATAAGACAACTTTATAGTATACTTTTAACCTGAGAATAAAGCTCAGAGATAATACTCTTTGTAACTCTAGGCTTAAGTTTATTAAATTAAATAATCACACTAATAAGAACAGAGCCTCACTTCTGTGAGATTCCCAGCAAAATATATGACTGGAAGCTAAACAAGAGGAAAACAGATGTACATAGCTTTTGACCTTTTCTGCTTGTCCTAGACATATACTAGTTATTGCAAATAAGGGAAACCATGGGACCTATGTTTATTTGGGCCTGGCTTACTTCACTTAATATAATTTTTTCCAAGTCTTTCCATTTCCTAACAAATGGGACAGTGCCATTCTTTCTGATGGAGGCATAGAATTCAATACATATATATGTGTATATATATATATATATACACATATATACATATATGTGTGCATATATGTATATACACACACACACACACACAACATTTTCTTGATCCATTCATCTACTGAGGGGCATCTGGGTTGGTTCCATATCTTAGCTATGTAAATAATGCTGCGATAAACATAGTTGTGCTGGTAGCTTTAGTATATTCTTGTTTGTGATCATTTGGGTAAATGCCCAAAAGTGGATTGCTGGGTCATAGGGGAGCTCTATGTGGAGTCTTCTGATGAACCCCAAGATAAGGACACAAGTGGTTTTATCTTTCTTGCTATTGTTTTTAATGTATTTATAATGTACTATGTAATTTTTTTTCTTTTGTATGTTCTTTCCCCATGGTATAACCCCTGTTTTCACTGTATTTGATTCGAGTGTCCTGCATCGTGTATATACATTTTTCTAATTTGGGTAGGGGAAGGGAAATAACAAACTGCTGAAATAAGCATACAGGTTGACCCATTCTAACAATGAGATGTACAAGACACTATGTTGAAAACGAACTTTACAACTTTGGGGAGGGGGGGAGGACTTGGGGAGATGGGGAGGGAAGGGAAAAAACAAAGGAGGAGGTAAGAATGCTCAATAGGAAATGTACTTATTACCTTACTCATGTAACTATAACAACCGCTCTGTACAGCGCCTTTGCAATAAAAAGTATATAACATATTTATATATATATATGTAAAGAGGACAACAAAGACAGTATCTTGCTAGCTCTCTTCACAAAAAAAAGGGAATACAAAATGAAGAGCAAGTTTCACATCAAGAAGAACATTAAAAAAAAACAAGACAATCAAAGGTAGCCCATAAGGCTGATTTGACTCGCTTCCAGTACAGTTTCTTTTGTTATAAAGGACACTCATTGAACAACTAGGGAAATCTGAAATTAGGTCAAAAGATCAGATAGTGACACAGTAGTAATGCTAATTTCCTAAACACAATAATTACACTGTGATATGTAAGTGAACGTTCCTGTTTTTAGGAAGCTTGCACTAAAGGGATTATTACTTAGAGAGAAAAGGCCCATGGTGAAATGCTAACACTTGAGAGTCTTCAGAAGAATCATGGGCATAGATTCATTCTTCATCCTAGCCTTTGACAGTCCTTAAGTTTGCAGTAGCTCAACTTGAAATCTTTTGGGTTTTTTTTTTAATGAAAGTATGAAGAAAGTGATATACATTCTAATGAACACTGATCTTTTTTCAAGGCTACTAATATACAGTTCAAAACTCTAGAAGCTACTCAATTCACCTGTTCTCAAGGGGTAAACTTCAGGTGTGCTATGTGCTACGTTGCTCACCTATAGTAGGTTACATATATTAAGTACTTTTCAACTTGCAGTAGTTTCTATTTATGTGGTTACTAATATACAACTCCAGTGAAACCTGAGGGGTATCTATACATAACATTTTTGTGACTCTTATTGTATGTGTAATACTCTTAAAAAATTTAAATGCTAAGCAAATAAGTGAAATAACTAAAAATTATCAACAAGCCACCTATAATTTAGTAAATGATAGTAAATAAAATATATAACTCAAACATATAACTAAATTATATAACTAAATCTCAATATCTACATTTCACAAGCATCCAAAAGGTATACCTATGTAAAGTACCAAGAAAAATAGAATTTGAGAAAAAAGCACTTTTTTTCCAAAGTATACTGTGTACATGTATAGAAATACCCTCATTTTATAAATGTATTTTAAGAGAGGAAAAAAAACAAAAAGAACATTTTACTCCTGTATCTCAACAGTAATACTATAGGATTCCTAATATGGCAGTCCTTTAGAGGAGGAAATTACAGTTTTAAAAAGTGAAGTCCCCACAGATAGATACACAGCTAGTAAATGAGGAATCTGCCTGCCTACTCTGATCTCAGGCTTCTAATCAGTTAAGACATTGCCCTAGAAAATATTTCTCTTTTAATCTTTAAGTATTACTTTCTGTATTTCCAAGTCCTAAAATGTTCTTCTCTCTCTCTCTCTCTCTCTCTCTCTCTCTCATGTGTGTGTATGTACACGCACAGACGTTTATTTCCCAATTCAACCTACTAAAATAGAAGAACTAACCTTGGTTGCTTTGTTTTGTATTAATCTACACAGGTGTATCAGGTTCCTATCAGAGCGCCTACAGAAACACTGACAGCTTGTTTTAGGTGACATGACTGACAGTAAAATTCAGTAAAAGTCTACAGAAGACGGAATTGTGTGCTCTGGGGTCCAGTATGTTTGTTATTTTCAACCTAGATTTTTCCCTCAAAGAAGCATCTAGTTATCTAACATTTTCTCACTTACAAATTGAAGATCAAATTACATTTTAGACATCAGTCAGTTACATGTTAAGAAACTTCTCACTCTGTTTTCCCTTCTTTCCTCTCTTTTAATGTTACTGATCCCAAAGAAGGCTATCTGATTAGATGCCCTTCACTTTTTCTGGATGGAGTCTTCACAATTATTTGCATATTATTCACATACCACCTAGGCAGTTAACTGGGCAAAAATTCAACAAAACTCCCCTGACACTGAGAAGTAGTTTTTGTCTAGCAAGCCCCACTGATTCCTGCACTAATTTATCACTTCTAAGTGGAAAGATTGACTCCTAAATCTATAGTAACTTTGAGGTTCTTATACAAATGTCATAGTTTGCTCTGTTTACAACATAAAAGTTTGTAATTCTTCCCCCCACCCCCATTCATTAAAGAACAAGACACAAGCTTAGTGCTATATGCCTGTCAATCCCAGTAGGGACTAGGTTGGAAGTAAAATCATGAATTTGAGGCCAGCCTGGGTAGGGAGCAAAAAGCTAGTTAAAATGTTTAAAAGGTAAAAAAAATAAATTATATGATTATTAAAAGATATTAACATTATTGTTGAGTTGAAGGAAATTTTTGAGGCCCTATGTTTTCTAATTGCTGCTCAAGACTAGACACTATTAGCTTACAAATGCTGCCAAGACTACTACTAAATACACTAGTCAGTGATCAATTTATAAAGAAATCAACTGGTAAGTATCATTGATTCACATGATAAATTTCTTTTCTAGGGAATGCTCTACATTTAAGAACCCCCCCTATTTACAATAAAATATATTGTTTTATAACTTAAGTCTTTATTTTATGATTGTTTTATAAAACCTGTGAAGCCTAGTATCCATAATTTGTGGTTCTCAGATACACAATTACTAGATGTTTTATACACTTCTGAAGAAAAAATGCAAACGCCAAAAATTAATAATTAATTGCAGTTTATCAGATTGAAATTATAAAAAATAAATCTTTACTATGAAAGGAACATATCTAAGCCAGTAAAAAAATTACCAATTTTTATTATGTGAAACTCTAAAAGTTTTGCTTAAAATTTAGTTTGTTGTCTTGGAGTTTATTTTTAAGACTATTCTCTATAGTTTTGTTATTTTTTAACATTTCACTGAATTAATTCTTAATAAATGGAATAAAATGCCAAGCTATTTGTAAGGTTTCACTTTAACATAGTGATAACTGTAGGTGTCAGAACCATTTGGTAGGGGGACTTCTGAGATTATGTGAAAATGGTTTTGATACTCCACAGATATAAAATTAATGTAAATATTTTTCTACATAAGGATAGAGTCCACATTTGTACTAAAACCTAGTATATTTCTATTTTAGTAAAAATCAGAGCGGATTAAGTTGTGACAACAACTTAACAACTGACAACAAGTATAAATAGCTGCTACTGCCAATCTCATTTTAGAAAAACTCCCTATTTGTTCACAGTGTGATTTTACAGTCTAAAAACCCTAAAGATTTCTATAAGACCCTTAGGTACACACACATATATGTGTGTGTGTGTGTATACATATACATAGATGTATATGTATGTATGTATATATATATATATATATATCCTAAAGTCCAAACCATAAACTGGTAAATTAGTTGAAAAGATAGTTCTCAATAGAAATACAAATACCAAATAAAAACATTAAAAATGTTCAACATCCTTAGCCATAAAGGAAATGAAAATGATGTTGATATTCATTTCACCTTAGTCAGAATGACAATCATCAAGAAAATATCAGCAAAGGCTGGAAAGATTGGGAGGAAAAGGAGACCCTTCTACACTGCTCATGAGAATGAAAATAAACACAGCCATTATGGAACTCAATATGGAAATTTATCAAAAACTAAAACTAATGCTACCATATGATATAGCTACACCTCTCTTTGGGGTACATATCTGAAGTAATCAAAGTAGTACCTGTACACCAGTTTTTATTGCTACACTATTCACAATAGCAAAGTTATAGATTCAGCCTTGGTGCCCATCAACAAATGAATAGATAAAGGAAATGTAGTATGTAGGAAAAGGATTTATATGGTCAAGAGAGATTGGTTGCCACTATGAAAGTAGAACTATGAAATCTGTTGAAATTGTTTTGGGAAGAAAGAAAGGGGAGAGAGAGTGATAGAGCAAATGAGATTGATTGGAATATATTTGTAAACAGAAATGTATAATACATCCCTGTATAATGCTAATAAAAGAAATTTTAGAGTGAAAAGTTAAAGAAAATGTGCAGTACATATGCAGTAGAGTATTTTCATGTTACATGCAGGAAAATGTATAGAAAGAACTTCAGATCATCACTTTAAATGAAATGAGACAGACTTAGAAAGACAAATACTGAAGGTTTTCTCATATACAGGAGAGAGGTACAAGATGAGAGAGGGGAATAAGAGGCAGTGATGTAAATATGTACAGAAGTACAGAAGTATGCACATATGAAAATACCATAATGAAGCCTGTTATTTTGTACAATTTTTAAAACAGCTGAAGTGCATTACATTTAAACTGACCATGAAAACAATTAAGGAGATTTGTTTAAAATTATGGAGCATCTTTGTATGATGAAAGAAAAGCAGAAGCAAAAAAATAGGCCCAAAAAAACCCATCATAGTTGTGGACAGCCCATATCTACTCTTCAGTAACACCAGTGAAGAACTTCCTTTAGGAATAAGGTCAGATAATAATTTATTATTTTGTTAGTGGAAATCTCCACTTACCGTAGCTTCATTGCAAACCGTGCACTTAACCACATGCTGGTGCAGCTTGCCGTCCAAATTGATTAGTGATTGGCACACACGGCAGTTGATTACTGGAATACCACTGGCATCCGGACTGGCGATGGCTGTATATGGAGGTGGGAGTTCCGCTGAAAGATACAACCCATCATAGTCCCTGAGCTTGAAAGTATTAGAAGAAAGTAGAATCTATGGAAAATTACTACCATATTTATTGTTTAGAGCTACCCAACTTACTCTAGTTTCTGAGCCTATACACACATGGAACATGCTGCTAAGCAAAATAGTCCTTAACTCTGATGAGATACAAATCATGTTGGTTTAGGTCTTCAATGACACAGTTTCCTTTTGCTAATCTATTGTGAAACTATCCACTTGTATCAATCCATCTGACCTGTTATGAGAGTGGTGGCTCAGGCACAAACTAAAAATCTCTTGCTGGTAATTTGACAATCTTTAGTCAGAAATGGAAATGGTCCACAAAGTGAAGTTTTTAAATTACATATATGCATAAATTGGGTAGTTTCATGCTTTCTCTCAACAGTGGTCTAGTAAAATCACTCTAGCTAAGACAAGAATAAAATAAAGTTTTGGACATAGTCAAGGAAAGATGAAATGAGCATAGGAAAACTTGGCCTATTATTAGAGAGGAACAAAGACAGAAACCATGTTAATATCAACACAAAAATAAATTTAATTTTATTTTCAAATATCCACAAGCCATTAAAAATCTACTTAGTGACTTGTCAAATATTTATGGCTGAAATTTGTGATGTTTGGCTTTACATTCTGCAGGAATCACCACAACCATCACCATAAAAAAAAAAAAAGTAAAAAGGAGAGTAGCAAATGCTGGTAATTGATGGATATAATGACAAGAGTGGCCATATTGTTCACCCTTCTCTCATAAATATCTGAAAATTCCCATACCTCAAAGACGTACATACACATTTTGTGGGAATTTTTCCTTTTTTTTTTTTGAAAGGTCTAATTTTGACTGAGTGGACAAAAGTCAAGGCCTACAAATCAAATTTGATCTATTAAGAGAAATATGTCTATTAAAGAAATCAGAGAATAAGAATCCTGTGACACTACTACTCCTCTAGAATGGGACTTCTGAAGGGGACTGCCCGGTCCTTTCCCACAGCTTTCTCAATGATAGGCACAGAAAGCCCCCTGATGAGAGGTAATATGCTAGGATCTTTAGAAAGCCACACCCTACTCAGCATTGAAGCACAAGTAAAGAGCACAAGTATCTCAAAGGAGCTTCTTTCTGTAGCACTGCGAAACAGTCACAACAACTAATCATGCAGAGAGCTAGTTTAGAAAGAAGTTTTCTATCCATTATGTCCAATTCTGAATTCTGTGATAGTTTTCTAGTGTCAGACCACAGCATATTTAAAATCCACAAGTTGAAGGGGGGACCAAGATGGCGACGGGGCAGTAGGGAAACGCCACAGCTCTCCCCAACCAAAAAGAGAGTTCAAGTTCCAACGCTTAATCTCCCCCAAGAGACTGACAACAAAAAAAAGACGAACACCCAGAGAAAAACAGAAGGTGGAAAATAACAAAAAAGAAAGAAAAAGAAGAATTTCAGAACAGAGAAGAGCGAAGACTCCTCCCCCAACCTTTACTGGCCACGCGGCAGCGCGCCAAGCGGCGGCCAGCCAGCCCGGCGGGGGCTGCAGGAGCCCCAGAGACACGGGGAGCTGCCGGCGGGGGCTGCCGGAGCCCCAGAGAGACAGGGGGCTGCCTGCAGATCACCTGCGCAGAAGCCGCCTGAGGTACAGGTTTGCAGACTGGCTGACCGCCGCAAACAGAGAAACCTACCAGCTGGGAGATCCCACAAAGATCCCACTCCCACCCCTCACTCTCCATCCGAGCAGAGAGGCTCCATCCCGCCAAAGCTGCCCAGCACCGGCAGCGCGCCAAGCCGCCACCAGCCGGCCCGAAGGGTCCCAGAGACAAAGGGGGCTATCTGGAGATAACCTGGCAGAAACCACCTGAGGTACCAGTGTCAGACCCACCGACTGCGATAAACAGAGAAACCCCCAAGCCCAGAACTCGGACCCACGATGGGAGCCCCAGAGCTACATGGGACGCCCACAGAACACTAGAGCGTAAGACCTGCAAGGAACTAGTGCTGATCCGGAGAGCGCAGAGACAAACCCCAGCGCTCTGAACCTGTACAGAGGCCCAGCCCCCACCCCTCGCCCGCAGCGTGAATGCTGTGGACCCAACAGCGTGGACAGAGGCAGAGACAAGAGAATCACACAGAGCCACCACCGCCCAGCCCAGCCCACAACCACCCCAACTGAACTCGGATTGCAACAGCAACTGATGACCTATATCACACAGAAACAACTAGCTCCAGGGTGAGTACCCCACAGGGGACAGTGTATCCCTCAAGGGAGACCAGAGCTGGAGGGAATCCCCAGACCCTGACCCAGACTCCCTACCCCAACACCCGGACCACAGGACCCACTAAAACTGGGAACTGTTCGAGAGCTCCACCAGCCCGTGGAGCACAGGTCGCTGGCCAGGCTACAGCTCCCCTGGAAGGGAGCTTAAAGGCCCAAGCCAGGAACAGCGCCCCTGGGTCAAGACAACCAACAGTAGAAGAAATTTGAATTGTGTACCCCAGGCTACATAACCTAGGTGGTATACACAGCAGCACAGGCCCTACCGGCGTGCCCCAGGCAGGGGGCCAGGACCAGGCCTGGGGATCCAGCGCCTGAACAACACAACCAACTCCTCCCAACTGAAGTCAAAAGCTGAGCCTCAGCAGAGGGGAGAAAAACAGGGAACTGCACCCCCTGGGAAGCACGCCAGTGACAACAAAAGACCTGGGGGCTCAGGACAAGAGAAGTCCAAATCCCACCAAAACCCTACCCATATACTGTAGGCTGGGAATTGGACAACACAGGCCGCCAGCACCTGATAGTAGGCAGGAGCTCAGGCTGGTAAGGTGGCTCAGCAAAAGAGTGCTAGTCTTGGGTGCATGAGGCCCTGGATCTGATTCCTCAGCACCACATAAGCAGAAAGGGCCAGAAGTGGTGCTGTGGCTCAAATGGTAGGGTGCCAGCCTTGAGCTGAAGAGCTGAGGGACAGCACCCAAACCCAGAGTTCAAGCCCACAACCAGCCAAAACAAAAAACAAAAAAAAAAACCATCAGGAGTCCATAGCAGACTCCAGCATCTGGGAGAGTGCGTCCAGAACATGGGATCTTGCCAAGAACACCCATGGGAGCAAACAAGAGCAGTCTAGGCTGCGCAACCCTTCCAAAGGCGGGAATTGCCAGTGATCTACAGCAGAGAGCCGAGAATCTTATGTAGGTGAGACCAGCCGCTGGAGGTAGGCCCCAAACAGAACCCAGATCAGGCACAGACTCTCTCTACCAATACAGAAACAGCAACCAAGCAAAGACAGACACACCAAAACAAAATTCAGATTAGTCTCCCATAATCCTGAACCCCCATGCGAAAATCACAGAGAAAAATTACAAGGTTTATCAACACCCAGGATAGCAAGCTATCCCCAATAGCTAGCAGCCACACAGGGGAGAGCTCCAGTGGGAGCAAAGCAGGAATGGAAGACAAAAGTTGCATCAAAGGGATGCTGGAAGCAATGACTCAAGAAATAAAGCGAGAAATAGACCAGAAATTGAAAGAGCACAAGGATGAATATCAAAAGAGATACAGGATATCAAACAGGAGATGCATGCAAAAATAGAGGCAGCACACACCTCAGTAAGAAGTGAGATAAATGCCAAAATAGAAGCAGTACATACCTCATTAAGAAGTGAGATCAGTACTTTGAGAACCAATGTCAAATCCATAACGGAGTCCATTTCCTCCATGCAAACCACAATGGAAGCCACAGTTAACAGAGTGAACGAAATGGAATGTAGAGTGTCAGATACAGAAGACAGAATACACCAACTGGACCAAAAAATGACAGATATGGAAAAATTAAAATCCACAAGTTTCCAAGTAGAATCCTTGGGAAATATCACATGGGTTATTTTTCAGACTGTGAAGGATTAGCAACAAATGTTAGTTACTCAAATGATTCAGGGCTGGGAATATGGCTTAGTGGTAGAGTGCTTGGCTAGCATGCATGAAGCCCTGGGTTTGATTCCTCAGTACCACGTAAACAGAAGAAACTGTTGCTCAAGTGGTAGAGTGCTAGCCTTGAGCAAAAGAAAGCTCAGGGACAGTGCCTAGACCCTGAGTTCAAGCCCCAGGACTGGCAAAAACCAAAACCGAACAAATCAAATGATTCATAAGCCAAATTTCTGCTTCAGCCAGGGCTCTGAAAGAGACCCTTTTGAAATGACAATATGCTTACATTTCTGGAACTCTTATTCCAGAGCACTTACAAACACTGAATGTCTTAAGTGATAAAAATAGCTTTAACTCTTGGAAAGAATATAAGGTTCATCTACAATGACCTGGAATATATTAATCAAGAGGACAAAGCAGGTTAAAGAACAATGAATCAAGAATACACTTAAATCCTTGTAATCTTCAGATTGCCTTATTAAAGCTTAATAAAGATAATATTCTGGGGGATCAAGAAAATGTGGTGTATATATACAATGGAATGCTATGCTTCCATCAGAAAGAATGACATTGCCCCATTTGTTTGGAAATGGAAAGACTTGGAAAAAATTATATTAAGTGAAGTAAGCCAGGCCCAAAGAAACATAGGTCCCATGGTTTCCCTTATTTGCAATATCTAGTATATGTCTGAGTCAAGCAGAAAAGGTCAGATAAGTTGATGTTAGGGAAATGAACCCTAAGATATGTATTCAAATGTTTTTTTTCTTTCATGCAATTGTTTCTAACACATTTATAAGATTATTTCTTTGTTGCTTTGTATGTCCCTCCCCCACAGTATAACCCCTGCTTTCACTGTATTTGATGTCGGTATAATTTGTGGAGGGGAAGGGGAAAAACAAATCATTTAAATAGGGATACAGGTGGACCCATTTCAACAATGAGATGCACAAGTCATTATGTCGAAAACGAACTTTACAACTTTGGTGGAGGGGGGGGGAGCGGGGAGGATTGAGTGGGGGGGTAGGGGGAAGGGAAGGGGAAACAAAGGAGGAGGCTACAATGCTTGA